TGTATGGCGCGGAAGCATGGACAATGAAAGCATCTGATGAGGCGGCTCTTGGAGTTTTCGAGAGAAAGATTCTGCGAAAGATTTACGGACCTTTACGCGTTGGTGATGGCGAATATCGCAGACGATTTAACGATGAGCTGTATGAGCTTTACAACGATATAGACATAGTGCAGCGAATTAAAATTCAGCGGCTCCGCTGGCTTGGCCATGTCGTTCGGATGGACAGAAACGCTCCTGCTCTGAAAATATTCAACGCGGGCCGCGATGCTGGTAACAGAGGAAGAGGAAGGCCTCCTCTGCGTTGGAAAGACCAGGTGGAGAAGGACTTGGCTTCACTTGGCATTTTCAATTGGCGTCAGTTAGCACAGAAGAGAAATGACTGGCGTGCTGTTTTGGACTCGGCCAAAATCGCTTAGGCGGTTACTGCGCCAATTAAGAAGAAGAAGAAGAATTAAGCTTATTCACTGAAAATTGATATTTACAATGATTTTTAGACGATACTAAGAATTATATAAATTTTGGAAAATGGGCTTAGCCACACCCACTTATCATTACATTTGTATTTCTTGGTAACCACTACAACCATTTCTCCGAAATTTGGCACAGTTGTCAACCTTTGTACAACATACCAAGTGGCTGAAAATTTTTAAAATTGGACAATAACGGCGCCCACATCCCACATAACGGTAATTTAGAGAAATGCGAAATCTTCAATAAATCAGTAAATACAAAAGCTACTTTATACTTTATTCGAAATCGATGTTTGCAATAACTCGTTAGCAAAAAATACGTTTATGATAAAATATTTGAAAGTGGGCGCGGCACCGCCCACTTATGCCCAGGTAACCGGTATCAATCAATTTGTACCAAACTTGGTACGATTATTTCGCTTGGCACATAAAAGCAAAACGTTAAAAATTATTGAAATCGAACTAAAACTACGCCCACTTTTCATATAACAGTAAATTTGAAACTTGGACATTTCGAAATTTAGCTGCAGTTTTCGGAAAAGTGAAAAAACTATATTTAATACTTGCTCCGGGTATTTAATGTTCGGCTCCGCCCGAACTTAGACTTTTTTACTTGTTTGGTTAGTTTTCTCTTTTTAATAACATTTTTTTCTTTTTCTAATTAAATTTTTAAGTTTTATTGTTTAAAAAGAACTTTTTTATTGCCATATAATTTTTAAAAATAGTTTATTTATTTATTTATAAGTTATTATTAGGGCTAGAAATCTTATAGAAATGCATGTTTTTATTAGGCATCTTTAAATTAAAATGGAATCTTGAAATTTCGTTTTAAATGGCATTCAAGTGGATATTTTTGTATATTTTACCAGAAATGCGTGTTTTTGCATATCTTTTGCGCATATTTTAGTATATTTTACAATAATAGCCAGCTTCGCGAAAGCAACTTAAGTGAAAAATGATTTTTTGTTTGAATTTAATATGGAAACTGACAGAAGAAAAAAAAATATTTTTTCTCTTAGTGGCACATCTCTTTACAAAAAACTTGCCTATAATTTTTCCCTAAATATTCATCTGAACCACTTTATTCAACTGTTAATAATGATTAAAAACTAATTTTATACATAAATATGTATTATATTTTGTTGTTGTTTTCGTTCTTTTCTTGCAAAAAACATGTGTTATTTATTTTTGTACCGGCAATAAAATATTTGGAAAACATTTTTAATTGCATATTTTATTTGTTTATAGCGCATATTTTCGATTTTTTAGTGCATGAGATTCCGAGCCCTAGTTATTATTATTTTAAAAAGAGAAACATACTTATTTTTTTTTTAGTTAATTTAATTAAAAAAAATTGTGGCTGAAACTCGAACAGTATAACGCTAAGACCTCCTCGTTAGCATATATTTCAGTCAGTCTTTCGAAAGACGGTAAAGATCTTTCAAGATTCAAGAAAGCTGTTTTATTAATTCACTTATTCGCTTATTCTCCACGCATCGCTACAAAATTTTAGGTGCGCTCAAATTCTCTAAAACTTGCACCACAGTCACAATTTTTAATATTTTCTTTATTTATGCTTTTTTTAAATCATATATTTTTAAAATTAAAAAAAAATATAACTATTCTTTGTGGAAAGTTAAATGCCGACAAATTCACTATTTTGACGTGCGAGGCGAACACCAAACGATGAATTTTCCTTTGCTTAACTAAATCAGCTATTTGGTGTTTAGATTACGTTGCACTGCAATGTGAATCGCCTTCGATTAGGGAGGTGACGTAATTAGAACGAGAAGAAAGATTTTGACACTGCCTTATTTGAAAATTTGCCTGTAAAATTTGACTATAAGGCAGCCGAATGTCAAAAAATAAAGAGAGAAAGTTCTTTTATTAGTTCACTTGTTTATTGCGCCATGGGTAAAAAACGAACAAACATGTGTTTGACTGACTCGCCTTCAGTGCCTCTTACTTTTTTAAAAATTGTAAATATATTTTTTTTCACTTTTTATGTTTTTTTCTTCCTTTTTTATTTTTTTAATTTTTAATGTGGCGCGGTCCCCTTGTGGTGCGGGCCCCTAGGCTGTCGCCTATGTAGCCTGTGCCTATATCCGGCCCTGCTCTTGTGTATCATGCGCAGCCATTTTCAGAATCCTTCCATGAAGTGGTTACTTTGTGTTGGTAATTTACGTGAGCTTTTCAAAATTTTTCTTTCCTATATTCTTATTAGAATATACGCTGTATCCTAACCCTGTAATTCGGACTCTTTACGTGGTTTTTTAAGAAGTTGGAACACATCCACGTCTTTTGGTTTCAAGGAGAAATGGTGCATTAAGCTAGGCACTAACAGCGAACAAATCCGTCTGATTTGTTCGTGTTCGATGTCATTTTTCTCGTTAGTAACCGTTTTGAAAATTTTCAAACTCTTCTGATTTGTTCGACCGTTAGTGGCGCAGTTCGCTAGGGTTGCCAGATTTTTTATGCGCGAAATTAGTACATTCGACTTTTTCATGCTAAAAAAATCAGTACTTTTCAGTACATTTTATTCAAAGCAAAATAATGAATATAAGTAACAGAAAATAATTTAAAACGTCTGAGTTCTTGTTTTTAACAATATTTTGGTATATAAATAAAATATAGTTCATAAAAAATACACATCATTATACACAGAACCATATAAATTATTTTATATCTGTGACTTTTTGAATAGCAAAGTCAATCTATACATACAAAGAAATCTATACATTTTATTTTAAAATTACTTTTAATTTGAAGTTCACTTTCAAAAATTGTATTTAAGAGCCGGTTTCTCTCTTTGCGCCAGGAAACAAACTTTATTCTTCAGATCCTCCCATACTGTGAAAAAGTACCACTTTTTAAGGAGTTCATCTATATTTCCTCANAGTCAATCTATACATACAAAGAAATCTATACATTTTATTTTAAAATTACTTTTAATTTGAAGTTCACTTTCAAAAATTGTATTTAAGAGCCGGTTTCTCTCTTTGCGCCAGGAAACAAACTTTATTCTTCAGATCCTCCCATACTGTGAAAAAGTACCACTTTTTAAGGAGTTCATCTATATTTCCTCATGGCTTAAATAATTTTTCAACTTCGCAAAAACTAAGAATGACTAAGGGCTGGTTTCTCCAACTCAACTTTATTTTGTTTAGCCACTTTTCGGACTTAAGTCAAAAGTTAGCATACATTTTACACAACTTATTCTTGACTAAGTCAAGAAAATTGGCTTAACTAAGTTAAATTGAGTTGGAGAAACCAGCCCTAAGAATTCGCAAAAGGAGTATCTAACTCTACATGTCAACTAGAATTAAATTATTTTCTTCTTATTTTTTACAGTACAGTTTAAGGAAGTCCCAACGTTATGTAAAAACCTTAAGAAAATACTAAAGTATTTTGTTTGAATAGAAAATTCAGTACAAATCAGTACAATTTTTGAAAAATCAGGACATTAGCGTACTGATTGAAGAAATTAATAAAATCAGTACAAGAGCTAAAAAATCAGTACTGTACTGCTAAATCAGTACGTCTGGCAACCGTACAGTTCGCGAACATTAACCCATGTCGTCATATCAGTTTACTTTTAACCCATTTCGTCATATCAGAGTATTTTGAACCATTGAAAAGAGCACATCCCGGGACATTGCAAGTAAGCAATTTTTAGAAGAGAAGTTGCGATTTGGCAAGGTAAAAGTGAAAAATATAAAAATAATAATAAACAACAAAAATCATGGAAAAAACTGTTAGAGAAGTAGAGGGAAGTACACACAAATGCCACGATAGAAATTGTAAAAAAAATATCAGGGCAATTCGGAAAAGTGAGATCAGGCTCTGAAGATGTACGTTGTGGTACTTTATTATAGCTTAAAATTATTGTAACCAATCAGCGTTGCCACTAACAATTTTTCGCCTACCAAATTTCATCCCAAATTCGACCAAAATCGTTCGCAACCAACGGAGTAAATTTCAATTACAAAAAACATGCGTGTGTAACACCGTACACATGATAGAAGTGAAACTTCTTAAAAAAGGTGTGAGTACCAGGTACCTACTCACGAAATTGGATGTGTAAACATATGTTTACGGTTCGGCAAACCATTAGGCGAATGAGTTACATACATAGGTTTGGTTAGAAATCAAACAATAATTTCATTTCATCTTATTAATTTTCTGATATACATATAATTTATTTACTCATTTTCCGGTAACACCTCCTTATATGAATTCGCGCTTCCAGCATCCATAGGACCGGGTTGTAATGGAAGTGATTGTATTTTTAACAAATAAATGAAAATGTTTATAATGCAATCAATAGATCCTTACGAATTTGCCATTACCAAGGCACTAAGTAACGTACGCACTTTTGTTTGCAAAATGCATTTATTTAAGTTGAAAGAAGACAAATTCCTTTGGCATTTATTCTTACTCGCTTTCTATCTTCCAAGGCGAATTCACCCAGCAAACACGGTCTCTAACGTTAGAGAAATTTTGATTTCTACATTAGATAACTAGGGTAATTCTCTAATCGTTCACGAGTCGATGACGAAGTTAGAGAACTACATTAGGATTCGATTCGAGAACGATTAGAGAAACTACGCAAATTCAATGGTCGGCACGATGCTAAGTTGTGTTATCGACTATCGATTTATAGCTACGATCGTCCTTATTTTAGACAAAAACGCAATTGTTCGAGCAAATTGAGTGCCGCTTCAAAATTTAAAGTAAATACATATAATTATTTCACGTAATAAAATGAATAGAAAGAAATTTAGAAGTGAGAGTGAGCAAATAGTAAATTTACTGTTTGAAAGTAAAAGTGATGATGAGCATCCAGAATGTGAAGCGTTGCTAGGAGAAGAAGAGCCACACGACAGGCCAGGATGCAGCAGAACATTTGATGAGCCAGATGAATTCAGCATTTCTTCAAGCGAAGATGATACGGATGACTGCATTAATGCAAATAACGATTTACGGAAGGACTTGACAGAATGGACTGTTAAACATAATATAACTAACGCGGAAATAGATGATTTGTTAAAGATTCTAAGTAAACGCATTACAGGGCTTCCTTTGTGTGCCCGAACTTTGAAAAATACTCCAAAGAGTGCCCCAAAGGTCATAATGGGTCCCGGGGAATATGTACATTATGGGGTTGAAAGTGCTTTAACTGACTTTTTATGTCGAACGGACTTTAGTGGCAATTGTTTGAATCTGAACATTAATATCGACGGACTTCCATTGGCAAAAAGCTCTAATACTCAGATATGGCCAATTTTAGTTAACGTACATACATCGGATGACATAAGAGTTATAGGAGCATACTGCGGGAACAGCAAATCAACAAATGTTAATGAGTTTCTTAAAATATTTGTAGATGAGTTATTAGGGTTGTTGGAAAAAGGACTAATTTTTAAAGAAATGCGTTATAAAGTTACTTGCCGGGCATTTATATGTGATGCACCTGCACGAGCATTCGTTCTTGGTATTAAAGGCCACTCTGGGTATTCTTGTTGCCCGAAGTGTACACAAAAAGGCGAATCAAAGTACCATAAAATCATTTTCACAAAAGAAAATAATTCAATTCGAACTGACGCAGAATTTCGAGCACGAGTAGACAAAAGCCATCATGTTCTTTCAGAACCCATGGTCATCGAAAAACTTCCAATAGATATTGTGAAGACATTTGGTATAGACTACATGCATGTGGTTTGCCTTGGAGTAACTAAGACTCTATTAATTGCTTTGCTAATAAAACGCAGCAAATCATATTCCCTTAAACCAACGCAAATTAAATTATTAGATTCAAGCCTTCAAGCTTTATACAGTCAAGTGCCGCGGGAATTCGCTAGACGACCTAGATCGCTGAAAGATTTAGAACGGTTTAAGGCAACGGAATTTAGATCTTTCTTACTTTATTCTGGAATATTCATACTGAAAGATATTTTAGATCCTGTACGGTATAACCATTTCTTACTTCTCAGCTTAAGCATAAGAATACTTTTGAATAAAGACTATTATACCAAATATAACACCTGTGCAAGTCAAATGTTAGATAAATTTGTTGAAAGTATGCTCGAATGCTATGATGAAACGTTTTTAACTTTTAATTTTCATTGTTTGACTCATTTGGCCCACGAGACCTTATATTTCGGAAGCCTAGAAACTTTCAGCGCATTCAAATTTGAAAATTATTTATCAAAACTAAAGAGGAAAATAAAGAAATGCAAACATGTCGCTGCACAGGTGTATAATAGGTTGGTTGAAAACAGCTTAGCCTCACAAAGTATTGTAACATCGTCATGCGTCTTAAAAAAAGGAAAGGTATTTACTTCTGTGACAACGCCAAAGAGCCTGACAATTTCTATAGCTTCAATAATAGTATATATAAATTGGTGGCTATACATGATAATACTGAAGTAAAACTATCAGGGAAAGAAGTTCTTAATTTACAAGACTTTTTTGAAACTCCTATACGGTCAGGGAACCTGAATATCAAATGTTGCAGGGAATTGGAGATTTCTACCACTAGGCGTTCAACATTCATTACAACAGATATCAAAAATTATAAAATTTAATAATGAATGCGTCAATTTCTTTATTCCTTTTATCCATTCCTAATAAACGTTAAAGCGACAAACATGGACTTTAATACCAGTTTTACCAGTGCGACGAACGACACACCAATAACAAGAAAAGGTTAACACTATTTTAAATTAATTAATTTTATAAACATAAACATCTGTTTCTTATACTTTTTTCAGATCTTCAAAGTTTGCAAGAAAAAGTTTTAAAGCAGATAAGGAAATCCGAGAAAAAATTTTTAAAGGTAAACTAATTATACATATTGCTCATTTACTTCAATAACGTAACAACTCAAAAAAGCAGCACTAGAGATAAATAGCTTTACAATTTTGAATTTACATATACTCCCATAGTAAAATGAATACATATTTTATTCTAGATAGTGGTAATCGATACAGCTATGAAATTTTTATACAAGAAGAGGTAGCGGTAATTTCTGTATACTTACCTCAAAATTTTTAATTTTTAGATTAAGGCACTATTGAATTAAATGAGCGATATGTATGAATGTATTTAAAAAATTAACCACATAAATATGTATATATATATACATATGTATATACACTGTACAGAAATAGATCACAACCAACAATCAATAAAGCGAAGCCTTACACGAATTTTACAAGAAACCAAACAAAGGAAATACAGCCATAAAACATCACGGAATGAGATTATCCCCAAAACACCGTTTGACAACATTGAGGATGTTAAAAAATTTGAAAAGGAAATTCAGGACCATTCTTCAAAATACGAAAGTCTGGTAATTATTTGTTTTAATCAATATGAATGAATTATTATATTAAGTGATTGCAAAAATTTATTTTTAGTCCGAAGAACTTTCACATATAATTTGTACGAGCAGTAAAAAATTTATTAAAATGGCTTGGCGTAAAATCGTTACCGATAACGCAGCAAAAAATTTATGCTGGAAAGGGACAAACACCAAAGTGGCAGCAAGAAGTTTAAGCATTACAGCTGCTTTAAAAAGTATACTGTTTCAATAACATGCATGCAAATTTATTAAATTTGTTATTTCTATCTTCCAGATGCACTTTCGATGAAATTTCCTCAATCCACAGACGACGAATTCGCACGAACCTCCATTACCTTTTTCCAGCATGCAAAAGGACGACTTCAAAAACGCACTGTATATCAAAGCAATAGAAATAGTACTTTAGAAACTTACAAGATAACTTCATAAAATCACATACATGTACTGCTAGTTTTTGCTGAACAATCCAAACCCTGTATATAGCCATTTTAATTTTAAGTAAAAAAAAAAACTGAATTATACATGAGTTTAACAAAACTAAGACTGAATGAATTAACAATACTTTATCCATTTATTTTTATTAAAGTGCTTTATAATTTAAAAAATGTGCCTTCTACTTTTTAAGTTATCTAAACTTGAGCTAAAACAGGGACTAAATACAATTATAATTTATGTTAAGCTACTGTATTTGTACATACACAGGAAGTCCGATAATTAGAAACAATTCGTCATTACAATTTCGAAAATTTATTTTAATTTATACAGTTCATGCTACAACGAAATCCACATAACTTAGAGTTTTAAACCTTGTACAAGATTTATAAAAATTCACCACATTTTTTTAAATTAAGCGAATTTTTATAAATCGTGTACAAGGTTGAAAACTTGTAGGTTATGTGGATTTCGTTGTAGCATGAACTATGCTTTCGCAAAAAATAAATTAAAAGTAATAAAAAAAAAAGTAAATAGTAAAAATTTTTAAAGACAAATTGTTTCTAATTATCGGCCCGCCGGTGTAAATTTTAAGGAATTCGACTTAATTTTCCAAAACGAGACTAAATGTAACACTTATAAGGACCTCATGTGAATGAACTTTAAGTTAACTATTTTATTAATTTTAAAATTAATTATGTTTCAGCAATATTTTTTAAATCTAATCTTACCAAATTTAATTAACCTAAATGAATTCATCTTAACAAAACGTGAAAAACACAAGACATATGATAGTTTTAAAGTTTTAAAAAAAATTTAGGTAAATAAGCAATATTCCAAATAAATGAATCATATATTATGTTTAAGTTCAAATAATTCATTATTATTTTATTGCAAATAAATTTAGTACACATTTTACAAACAAAGCGTTTTATTTAATAAAGCAAAACACAGCAGTTTGAAATTCACATTCGAATCCCATTAGAGATCAACATTAGAATTCGATTAGAGAATTAATATTTTCTCGAGTCGAGAACTATGTCCCATTTTTGTTGAGATCGCTATGATTCTCGATAGTTTTTCGAGTCATTCTCTAACGTTTGAGATTGGAGAATTTGGCTAGTTCTCCAATCATTCTCTAATCGATAACTAACCTCAATGTTTGCTGGGCATATATTCTTATCACGAATTCATATATTCATGTGGTAGCAAGAGCATAAAAACATAAAATTATCTTATAAATTAAAAGTATAAGTATCACATGTATGCGTAGTCCAATTCACGAAATCATTTCATCGATCTGAGTAAAAACTAAGTGCATAAACTCTATTTCGCGTTAATTGAAATCATGAAATGGTGTTCATTCATTCAGTTTCTACTCAAACGCATGAAATGATTTCATAAATTGGCCTACGCATAATGGTAGTAAATGACAGAATGAATTACAACAAACACATCCTTTTGACATAATGCAAGCCGAAAACGTTGGTTCAAATCAATCCGCAATCAAGTTGGACGTTTTACCCACAAACATTGCAATTTTGCGAGCAGTCTCATTGTAAAATCTCATTTTTACAATTCCATAGTTTCGGCTTACATTTATAAAATTCAACGAAAGCACGTACCTATTTCGGCTGAGTTATCCATTTTCGGTCATTTAGTGTACAAAATAAACTCAAATTAAATGAGTTTGTACAACATGGCCATTAATGTAGCGATAAGTTGTACAACCTGCCAGAAAATCTAAATTTGTTGATCTTTCATACAACCAAGACATAAATTCATTCAACAGGCCCACAAACGGTGCAATCTAAAGCAAAACAACACCAAGTTGAACCAACGGTCGCTACGTTTATGGCTTTCTTTAAGAAACATCGGGTGAAAATTTCAACTGATCCCGTAACACTACTTTACATATGTAAGTTGGCCTTGCTATCATCCTCACATATGTTCATCAGAGTATACCAACGAAGGAGGAGTTAATACAAGGAGATAGCGATAGCAGAAAACTACTCTAGAAAATTACACGCACAATGACAAACATGAACAAATGTACAACAAGCACATAATTTTTGACAATCAGTACAGTTCGCATTTATATAAACCAGCAGCTTATTAGATTTGTTTTCGTTTGTACTACATATGTGCATATATACATGTACACAAACATATGTATGTACATCCATACAAATATATACACAACCATTCAAACATATGTACATACATGAAAACATTGCTGTCCATAAGTACATACTTATGCCTATCAGTACATCAACGAAGCCCGTTTGCTTCATCATAAATATATCCATTCAAACATATGTACATATGTACGAATGGATGTAGTTACGCGAAGCACGCTTGCATCATTTATACTAGGGATGGGTAAATTCGATATTCGAAGCTTCGATATTCGAAGTCGAACGTTGTGTTGCTAAAATTCGGATAAAATCCAGTATTTAAACTTATTATTTCTTAAGCTATATAACTGAGCTATCAATGGGCAGTTATACAAGTTCCAACTTCTACTTGACCTTTGACGTACGTAAAAGGGAACCTAGCCTTTTTAACAATATTTTTTGTTTTTCCTTCTTTCAATACCTGCATTGGACCAATCTTAAAAAAACTACTAGACACAAAAGAAGGAAGTGTGCACTGTAATTCTTAACCAAATTTTCGTGATTTGCTTTTGATGTTACATATATTCGTTTCAATAATTTCAAATGGGGCTCATTGGGGAATTTATTTTTAATAAAAAATTAAAGAACAGTAATTTTGTTTACTTGTCGGGCAATTTTTTTTCGGATGGATATACACTGTCCCTTCTTTGCTATTTAAAGTCAAAGAGCAAGCTCCTTCGATAGGGATTTCCAGCAGAAATGATCAACGTCTGGCTATAAAGTGGCGCGATGCCCAAATAATTAAAAAACTATAGGTCTGACCTTTAATAAGATAATAATTACGTAACTAACTGAGATTTAAATGCTTTTAAAAAACGGGGTGCTTTTTTAAAGAATAATTGTATTCTTATCCGATTCGGCCAGGACTTTGAAAACAGAATTTTGTTCAAAATTTTTATTCCTGGAAAACAATAATTTAATCGAAAAACGCTGATGAAGTTACAGATTCCCCAAATTCTGAAACAGCCAAAGGAATGACAATGAAGAACTATTTTTAAAAAGCTTTAGAAAAAGCTGACACATCTGGTTTGGCTTTGTAAGCGCTATTTAAACAACGATCTCGCCATTATGCTAGATTCTAATTGTTTCTTAAAAATACTTGATATTCGCATTCGCATCCGCATCCGCGGATCTTAGCTTTTAGATATTCGCATCCGCATTCGCATCCGCGGATGTCTAAAATTCCACATTCGCAACATCCCTAATTCGTACCCGTCATGCATCGCTTTATTTCTTTTTTCCCCTTCCCTATACTACCTATATCTTCCTTCTCACTCATGTAACGTTTTCAGTTTTAAAAATTTCACTCTCCATTTTTGCGATACCGCTGCCTCAGAAGTTTCACTTCAAAAGCATTCTGAAAGCATACAATTCATTTATTTAATGCCGATTTCGTTTCTACCCTAATTCGTACCCGTCATGCATCGCTTTATTTCTTTTTTCCCCTTCCCTATACTACCTATATCTTCCTTCTCACTCATGTAACGTTTTCAGTTTTAAAAGTTTCACTCTCCATTTTTGCGATCCCGCGCCTAAGAAGTTTCACTTCAAAAGCATTCTGAAAGCATACAATTCATTTATTTAAAGCCGATTTCGTTTCTACCGAAAAATGGAACCTTCTCTTGGCCCTCTAGGCACAAACACTAAGAACAGGGCGATGAGAAAACAACATTTTTTGTAGAAACCCCCTTACCCCGAAACCCCGAATTTTCGTAATTCGTAATTCGTAGCTACGCTACGAAAAACGAAAAACCCACATGCTGCAACCCTTGCGGAAACAGCATTGCGAGCTATCAGTTGTTTTTCGAAGATAGCTGAATGAAGAACAAGTAATTTTTAGCAAAAAAAAACCGACTTCAACTCTCATATAAAAAAAATATATAT